CAATCATAAGCTTGATGAAGGTGGTCCATAGTGTTGCCCAAATGCGAGACCGAGACGAGTCTTTGTCTTGCAAACTCACTGTCTGACCAGTCTTTGTCTGCAATCCTCTCTCGCAAGAGTCTTGCAGTTACTTATCAGCTTATTACTATAGAGATATTACTGTAATTTTTTAGATAGGAGAAAATAACTAAGCCCTAATGAAAAATTATTAACATATAGCAACTAAGATTGTGAATTTTTTTTATTAGTAACTATTTTGCTTACTTGTCCTACGTACTGCATAGTGCAAGACCAAGACCGATTTTGGGCAACACTAGTGGTCTAGTGTTATGAGGCCTGCTAGTCCTTGGTTGTAAATTGGGTATTATCGAAGACAGTCATCCCTACGGTCACACAGCATTAAAGAACCAATTAACAGATATATGGCCGTTCATAGAGGAATAGTTTGTACTTAGTGATAAATATTTATAGTTTGGAGGAAGAACGAGGCAGCTCCATCTGCTGGATTTCTCTGTAACTAGCGGGTGTAGGTGCTTCATTCTTATACCAAACGAAATGGATTTTTCTTTTGTATGTGATACGATGTGCGCCTCAATAGAGGCATAAAGTGGATCTGCGTCCTTCTTGCACCAAACCTCTCAATTTTTAAAAATTATCTTTCTTGGATTTTCGGCAGAAATATGTTATATATTTTATTTTAAATTATTTTGAGAAAAGAAATTAAGATAAATTAAGAACTTAGGGGTCTACAAGGCTGCTTATTATACTTACTAGCTACATAATTCCCTTCTGTGTTTTTTTATTTGTTTAGTGTTTACAATAAAACATATTTTATTGTAGGATGCAATTAACACCCTGAACAAGTGTCTGAAGGAATTGCTTAGGTCCTTGATCACGAACTCTATACCATACCTCATTCCTTGACTGGACTAAATATAAATATAGTTAATATCAGTGGTATAAAATGAAGAAACATTATAATCCAATAAAAAATAGTAGAGCTTCGTAATTATGTCTACAAAAATAGACTTAGGAGCAACTGTGGGCTAGAGATGGACAAAATTGTACTCTGAGTAAAAAGTACAATTACAGAGTAATTTACTCAAATACTCGCCCGGTTCGAGTATCGATTATTTCAATCACTACTCGACCTCATGATTGAAGAGTACAAAAAGTAATCAGCTGTCCTCGTGAGTACTTTCTATTTTCAAATCTACTCAGCAATATTTTACTCTGAGTACTTTTCAAAGTAATCGAGTATTTCATTATAAAAATTACAGGAGTAGAATATTTAATATTTCTTCCATGTTTAAGTCCATTGTTATCTTATGGGGGTATAGTATTTTAAAATAGTATCGATATTAATGTAAATCGATAAAATAAAGAATTATTAAAATATTTTGGATTTAATCAAATTTGAGGACCATTTTTTTTTTTTTTTTCACCACCTGACTTTTATGAAAATGAAATCGAAATTGAGATTGGGCCCCCCGGGCCCCGACTTTTTTTAACTTTTTGAATTAAATCGATATCAGGGTCGACTATTATGTTTTGGGGGGCGCTTTTTATGAAAATGATATCGAATTTGAGATTGGCCACACCCCCGGGCACCGACTATTATTAACTTTTTGAATTAAATCGATATCAGGGTCGACTATTATGTTTTGGGGGGCGCTTTTTATGAAAATATTATCGAATTTGAGATTGGGCCCCTCGGGCCCCACTTTTTTTAACTTTTTGAATTAAATCGATATCAGGGTCGACTATTATGTTTTGGGAGGACGCTTTTTATGAAAATGAAATCGAAATTGAGATTGGGCCCCCCGGGCCCCGACTTTTTTTAACTTTTTGAATTAAATCGATATCAGGGTCGACTATTATGTTTTGGGGAGCGCTTTTTATGAAAATGATATCGAATTTGGGATTGGCCCCCCCGGGCATCGATTTTTTTTTAACTTTTTGAATTAAATCGATATCAGGGTCAACTATTATGTTTTGGGGGACACTTTTTATGAAAATGATGTCGGATTTTTTTTTTTATAAAATCCGTCCCCTAAAACATAATAGACGGCCCAGATATCGACTAATTCGAAAAAGTGAATCCACTGGGTGCAATCTCAAATCCGACAGTATTTTCATAAAAAGCGCCCCCAAAAAATAATAGTCGATCCTGATATGGGTTTAATCCCAAAAGTTAAAAAAAGGCGAGGCCCGGGGGGCCCAATCTCAATTTCGATTTCATTTTCATAAAAAGCGCCCCCCCAAAACATAATAGTCGACCCTGATATCGATTTAATTCAAAAAGTTAAAAAAAGTGGGGCCCGAGGGGCCCAATCTCAAATTCGATAACATTTTCATAAAAAGCGCCCCCCATAACATAATAGTCGACCCTGATATCGATTTAATTCAAAAAGTTAAAAAAAATCGGTGCCCGGGGGGGCCAATCTCAAATTCGATATCATTTTCATAAAAAGCGCCCCCCAAAACATAATAGTCGACCCTGATATCGATTTAATTCAAAAAGTTAAAAAAAATCGGGACCCGGGGGGCCCAATCTCAATTTCGATTTCATTTTCATAAAAAGCGCCCCCCAAAACATAATAGTCAACCCTGATATCGATTTAATTCAAAAAGTTAAAAAAAGTCGGTGCCCGGGGGGGCCAATCTCAATTTCGATTTCATTTTCATAAAAAGCGCCCCCCAAAACATAATAGTCGACCCTGATATCGATTTAATTCAAAAAGTTAAAAAAAGTCGGGTTTCGGGGGGCCCAATCTCAAATTCGATAACATTTTCATAAAAAGCGCCTCCCAAAACATGATAGTCGGCCCTGGTATCGATTAAATCGGAAAAGTTATGAAAATTCGATGCTCGGGGGCACTATCTAAAATCCGACAGTATATTTTTATAAAAAGGGCCCCCCAAAACATGATGGTTAGTCTAATAGCGATTAATGGGGGGGGTTGGGTTCGGTCAGGTCGAATATGGCCGCTATTATTGAAGGAAATAAAAGAAAACATTTATACTCTTTATAATAATGACGGAGTAGTTGAAAAATAAAAAGTACTCTTTGTAGGAATTCGGCTGAGTACTTTCTGTAATTCGATGTAACAGCGCGAGTATTTTCTGTACTTAACTAAATGATGATTGACGCTGCGCGAGTACTCTCAGTACTCGCCGCTGGCAGGCCGAGTACAGAAACTACTCGATACTTTTTCCTAATAAAATTACTCAAATCATGAAAGTAATCGAGTACTGCCCATCTCTACTGTGGGTCGTAGAGCCTGTTAGATAAATTGTGCGTGGCGGGCTTTTCCTCACGGTCGATTGGAGTGATTGAATTTTGGACTGGCCCGATGAGGTTGTGGACCTCCGGAATTCCAATTACTCTTTAACGTTTTCAAAATTCCACTCAGTTTTTCGAGCTCAGCCCTCACAGGGTAGTTTACAATGTTTATTCTCTTCTCATCTACGTTTTTCTATTCTTTTCTTTCTTCTTTTTATAAGTTATAAATTATAAAAACATTGGGAATTGGTATTCATGATGTTTTATGCTCTGAAGCCTTATGTAACAAATAACGTTGATACAACATGTAAAGAGCTTTAGAAAAAAAGTTAATTGAGATAAAAAATTAATTAAATAATAAATTCGGAAATTTGTGCTGTTAAACTGATGTTTTTTTCTTTAATTGAAATGATATCATAACTATTGATTTCATTATTAAGATATTATTTATGAAAGAGTATTTTTTTGTTTAAACACGTAGGCACTGGTGAACAGAACAAAAGAACGCAGAAAATTGGGACTGCTTGTTTCTTCGCTATTCTCGCAGGTGATTTTGCCCCAGATGGACCTAGAACAGTTCATTACCGAAGTATTTTTGAGAAAACCGTTGTGGGTATAAGAGAAGATACCACTCAAAAAAAGATCAATAATGATGATGAAGTGGAGAATCCAAAAGAAGAAACAACTGATGCGCTACTACTAGTCCATGGAAGAACGTGAAAATAAAACCAACATAGAAGAACAGGTAGGTCCAGAAGCTAATTGCCTTGTTGAAAAGATTGAAACATCAAAAATTGATATTGCGCGTATTATATCCTTATTTAAATTTCTAAATAACTATAATTTGTAAATTATGTATTATAATAGTATATTAACTTACCTTTTTTTGTGTTATTTATTAGGTAAAGATAATAAATATTGAAGATAAATAAATATTAATATTGAATAGTTGACCGTTGCATTATAATGGAAGGAAATGGTCCGGGGTGGCGGACATAAATAGGCTATATATTGGCAAAACTATTTTATTAAATGCCAACGTTTCGAACCTTCTTCTTCAGGGCTAGAACGGACAAGATACAAAAAAATATTGAGAATTGTGGAAGTTACATAATATTTAGACAAAAAATTATAAACAATGTGAATAAGCTTATTAAAATTATAAACAGTAAGTACATTAAAATATAAACAGAGTAAGCTAAGTAACAAGATCCTAACCTGAGGTTAATAGATGGTAACAATTGTTGTAGTGTATTCTATATAATATATGCAAATGTGAATATACTTCTACAGATCTACAAGAGAGATTGAAAGAAAAGGAAAAAACTATATAATATGAAATAATAGACATAAAGGAATGTGGAGAAAGAAAAGAAAACCAAAAATAAATAAATAAGTAAATAAAATTAGAAGAATAAATGTGTTTTTCGGACTCAGGGGGCTGTGAAACGTATAGATCTGTCGAAAACCGCTTGTCGGAAATTTGACCCGATTGCAATACTTTCCTTACCTAGTATAGGTAGGAAAGTAAAAATAAGCAACAAAATCAGTCTACTAGTACCCAAGATAATCTTGACACAGACACATCAATGGCTGAAAATGTGTTTTTCGGAGTAAGGAGGCTCTGAAACGCATATATCAGTTGAAAATCGCACATAGAAAATTTGAGCCGGTCGCAATACTTTCCTTACCTGGTAGAGGTAGGAAACTAAAAATAAATTTGATGAAGAAATCGATGTTAGGTAAAACCTCCTTCAGGAAAACATATGATTCCTCCAATGAAAGAATGCTTTTACCGAAAGGTTAAATTTGTCTTTCTCTGTGAAAGTAAATGAGGACTTATTTTGTTTTCTTCTTCGTGCTTGTGAAGCTTACTTCATGCCAGCGGCGGATAGTTGGTGGAACGGATGCCGAAGATGGTATGTACCCGTATGCTGCTTTCATTCTCGTCAACAAGGTTGCTAGCTGTACCGGCAGTCTGCTCACCGAAGAATGGGTCCTGACAGCGGCACATTGCATGGGAAATAAGCCACTACTAATCGAGGTTAGGCCTTGCAAGAGCAATATCATTTAATAATAAAATTGTAGAAGCTTCTTGTTTTGTACCTATAACTCAATTCTGATCCTTCAGGAAGTCCCAAAAATTCCATAAGTATTAAGGGCAAACTAGCATGATCAAATTTTTAACTTATATAAGTAGTTTTATGAAGTTTAAATACTTCTGAATTATGCATTTGCATTAGGAATTTTATTTTGAAGGTTATAGATAAGGACAATTAGATGCTGGTACATATTCTTAATTTTACTATAACTTTTAAAATTAACTTGATAAACACTGAAATTCTCATACCATGTGATGTATTTATAAATGTACTTATTTATAAATTTTATATACTAAATTGTAAGATAGGTGCCAGGAAAAACAATAAATAAAGACAATTGAGCTCTACGAGTATACTGTATTGTTTAACATACATGTAACCATATCTATAAGCTAAATATAACCTATATATATATATATATATATATATATATATATATATATATATATATATATGTGTGTGTATGTGTGTGTGTGTGTGTGTATACAAAATAAAGTTAATAATTATAACCTACTAAATACTATCTAAAATAAATATATTAACAATCGATTAACAGTTCGCAGCTCCAATCCTCCAATATAGCCTCTCTCCCCCCTCACATCAATTCCCTCTTTGAAAGAAGGAGTTCCCTCCCCCGTTCATTCATGATGGAGAAAACCTCTTCGGTGCTTTGCACACAAATTTAGATCTGCACTGGAGGGGCGTTTCGACGGCAGTGACCTGAATATCTGGATCCCCTGAGGATAAAATTCGTGGTGGCACATAATCATCCTCGGCTGATCCAGGTTGAGCAGCACTCTTCGATGAGATTGAGCCGACTGCTTCTTCTGCTTCGCCGCAACCATTGCCGTCTCCCTCACCTTCCTCAAATATCTCGAATTATTTCGCAGGTTTCTCATATTCTTCACTATCCTCTTCTTGGTCCGGAACATCGTCTAAGTCTATTGGCCACTGAGGTCCAGGCGTAAATAGATCTGGTGTAAATCTCTTTGGTGGTCCTCACCTTCTGACCGATCTCCGGGGAATACTCAGAGCTGGAAAATAGTGGCGCGAAGTAACAGCCATGGGGCCTACTCTCTGTTCTGAAGTTCGATAAAAATATTCATTCTTCGAATCATCTATAGAATCATCTGACCGAGGCGGTCTTGGTCATGGTCTTACGTCAACAAACCTTGGTCTCGGTCTTGCGCACTCGGTCCTGGTCTTGGTCTTCTTCTTGCGCAAGAGTCTTAAAGTTACCTATCAGCTTATCAATATTTATTTAATATGTTACTTTAAATCTTAGAAAAAATAAATACATTAAGATGTTTTACTGACATAAACATAGTATAGTCCAACTAAATCAATAAAATTAAGAATTAAGAAAGAAAGTGATAACCCTCCTCCATCCCTCCGATTATATGGAATGTATTAGAGGAAATGGAAGTTGTGGAATAAAGACAATTTATACACTGTTACTAATGATTTTAATAAAAAATCGAGTGTGTCCACTTACATGACTTTCTTATCTATTTAAAAAAAAATACAATTTTAAATGTGTCCATCAGAAAAAACAAATAATTTAATGATTCATTTTCCTAAAAATCAATCAGCAAAATCATTAGTGTTCAATTTCTTGGATGAACCAAACGGTACACGGGCCAGTGAACCACCATTAATATCACTTTATAAAAAATAATATATTGTAACTTTGCTAAAACCGGTCCGGTTCAGATGATTTTTGACAATTTTGATAGAAATTTAATGACCTTTCAAAAAATAGGCTTCGAAACAGACTCAAAAACGTTGATAACCGATAGGATGTATACGTGATGAGTTAGCCCTCCCAATCATTATAACTTTTTTTCATGAATTGTCTAGCGGATTCACTAAATATACGGAAATATTATTTTGGATACTTCGAGATTATCAGCGAGTGCCGCGCGTCCTTCTATTAATTAATTCTATCCATCTTTGAAAAAAATTTTATTGAGATGTCTAGATCAATAATTAACAAACAATAGTTGCCACCGTTAACAATAGAGGCCCTTGATAATTAATATTTGTCAACTTTTCCCAATACCTGTTACGGGGAAGTAAACATGATAATAACCAGGGGTGCCCACAGAGGGATTGTATGGCGGAAGTCGCGCCATCAGAATATTTTTATGGGAGGCACATTAAGTTTTCAATTTTAAGAGAACGTTTAAACCAGGAAATAAAGAAAAAAATGGCAAACAGAGGTTTGGGTGTATATACAAAAATATCTAAGAGCGCTGCATACTTGAAAGAGCGGCTTAGGTATGTTTTTATCCTAAGTACTCAACACAAGCAGGACATTGTCTTCTGTGTATCAATTTTCAGCATTAACTCAAAGGGCGCCGTTTGTTTGAAATATCGGTATGCAGTACCTTCATTGTGTGTATATAACAAAGTTATTAATTATAACCTACTAAATACTATCCGTACATATATTATTACAGTAAGGCTCGAAATCGGTTTTGTACCAAATATAAGCTCCTGTCATGCTCAAATACCATGAATGGGGTACCGTTGGATTCAGAATTTCACGGGGGGTTAGCGAATCGTATTCTCCGCTTTTGTTTTTCTTTCTAAAATAAATAAAGTCGATACAAACATTTTGCTAGGCTTCAATACTGGAACGGTGGTAGGTCTGTAGATCGATGCGGGACAAATTGGACCTTGAAGATTTTGATGCGTACAGCAAGACCCGGATAGTTCCACTGGAACTATCGTATCCTGCGTTTTTAAGCCCAAAAACGTACTATTTTCGAGATAACGCAAGGCATGGGGTTCGCATCCACACAACCTGACGTTAATTGTAGTACTGTCACTGGATACATGTCTCATTTCGTCGACTTGAGGTCTCTATGATCGAGACAGGAGTTTATATTATTTATCGATGGTGTTTTTGATCGGCAAGCCATATCATCGTTAATTCTTCACCAAATCTCAAGATTGAGCCACCAATTTCGAAGACTTCCTTCTCCTTCAGGCGGGCAAAATAGTCCAATCACCCCGAAAATTCAGGCAAACAAGTTATGATAGAAAAGAAACTTTATTTGCGAATAACTAAAAAATTACACACTTTTCCCTTGGTTATTCCCATGATTATATAACACATTACTAATTTGTCTACAAAAGGAAAAAAAAATCATTGAAATCGGACCATTTTTTGCAAAGATACAGCTTATTGAAATTTGTTTTGCTTATTCCAAACAAAAATGAAGATTTATATTTTATTATATTAGAGTTCTACCAATGGGTAGTTTCTCAACATGTGTTCCATGTCTTTATACCAATGTGCAAATTTACTAGATGTATTTTTTGTATACAGTTGTAAATATCATTTAAAATAAATAATAAAAAAAATATTTTATTATAAGAATATAATTTAAATTTTGAAAAAAAATACAGTTAAAAATGTTACGAGATTATAATGTAAGGTCATCTACTATATCTATTGCTACCTGGAAGCTCGTAACAACCGAAAAACTTGGTCAACTTAAGCGTAAATTAAGGCTGATTATACACGTTCTGGTATACTGTTGCAGTGTACCTGTACAGGTAAAGCGGAGTGTATGTACCAGCAGGTGCAGGCTTAGCGACCTGTGCAGACGACGGAAGAAAAATCGAAATTTAGTATTTTCTATCTGCGCAGGCTTATAGACCTGAACAAGTGTATGAGTCACTCCGGTGTAACAATACAGTGTTTAATAAGTAAAGCAATCGCTTGGTGGTCATGTTTGCTAGCAATCTCTCGAGCGAGTTAAAATCTTCCGGTTTACCGTAGGGTGTGTGAGCTCTAGCCTGTACAGGTAAACCTTCCGGTTTACCTGATAGGTATATCGTAACGTGTACCCGGCCTTCAGTCATCTCGTCGATTATAGTCACACAAAAGTGGAAAATTGTTAATTCTGATTTATTATTTTCAATAATGAACTCCTGCCGGTGACGCGGCTGAGAGAGAAGCGCTGGGATCTCTTAGAGTCTCGCTTTGTCTTTCACACGTGGAGGAAAGGGCTGGACTCGGAGCTCCCTTGGCTGATTGTAAATTAAGTATGAATGTTTTTCTTTTTTATATATTAAGTATGAATGTTTTTCTTTTTTATATATCAAGTATGAATGTTTTTCTTTTTTATATATTAAGTATGAATGTTTTTCTTTTTTATATATTTATTTGTTTTACTTATGACTTATTTAATTTGCTACCAATTTCGATATTTTTTTTTTTATTTGAGTTCAAGTTACATTTCTTTGGTTTTATAGTTTTTACCTTTGTTATATAGATATAGATTTTTATTTATTTATTTATTTATTTATTTTATTGCATTGTATATATAGTATGAATGGGCCTCACTCAGCTTTAGTACTCAGTGCCCTTAAATGTGGCAAAATGTATTATTTCTCAATAAAAAGATTTAAAAAAAAAATAATGAACTATTTCAATCGACTGAAAAATTCAAAAACTTTAGATGTTACTTTAGATGTATAATTATTTGAATATAATAAACCACTATGAAATAATTTTCAGCGTGTTTGAATTGAGTTACTTCAAACGTAGCGACGTATGAATATGTAATTGTATTTACATTAGTGTGCACTCACAAATAGTAAGTTTTGAGTTGTACCGGTCTTGATAATTAATAGAATTTCGCAGTAGAGCTTTAAATTAAAACGATTTATCTGATGAGAAAACAGTACCTCAGTCACAAGTAAGTTGGGCAGTTCTTATTTAAGATTTACATTTTATTAAAAATTGAGATTTTTACTATTAGATAAATTTTATAAAATTAATTAAGATATTTGAGAGTATTACAAACCAATATTAATATAAGGATCACTTCTTATATTAATAGTGGTTTTGTAAAACATAATATAACGTTTTTTGTGAATTGTAGTTTTTTGGCAACACTAATTTCCTTTATCTATTTTCAATGGTTGTCAAACGAGTCTGTAGATTTTTTTTTTTTTAAACAATAATGTTGGTATTAGGTTATGGTAAGTGATTGTTGGTTGAAGTAAAACGTAGTTAAGAAATATTTTGACATTATAGAAAGTTTTATTTTATTTTTAATTATTTGAAATTAACAAGTTAGTATTAACATATATTTTGAAATATAGCCAAATATGCTGATATTTGTAAATATGTTGTTATAAGACTGTCACTTCTCATAATAAAAGATATTTTTGCAGGATATGATGCCCGGTCTAATGCTGAATATCTATTAAAACTCAATGTTTAATTTGAAATTTAAGTTCTAGAGCGATATAAATCTAATAACATTAATAAGAATCAGTGTAAAAGATATCACCTCAACCAATAAAACCAATAATTTTTAGTGGGTTAACCTGGCACAGTATATTCATGCCTTATTTAGAGATACATGCTAAGCAAGATGGAAGTGGTATAAGACTAGGTCATTCAGCTCATCACTGTTAAACAGATCTCCTACCAACGACTCCACCTAGAAAAACATCTTGCTTGGAATCCTCATAGAAGACTTAAAAGACAAGTAACTGCTTGAATCTTTCTAATAACTTTGGATGTTGTTTTAACACTTGGACAAATTCACTAAGCTTCTAATTAATTATAAAAGGCTCATTTACTCTAAACCATCGAATTCCAATTGTATCCGAACTTTTCAATTTAAAATTCTCAACGCTCCTTACTTTGCTATGAATAAAGTCATCTATAATGATCTTAATGTTCCATATGTTGTCGATTTGCCTCAATAAAGATACCTGTTCTTGCACAATAAATTTCACTGCCATCCGAACTCAATAGTCTCCTGCTTCCTCTCGAATTCCTGATAATCCTCCAAGACACCTAACTAGATGATCTCGGGGTTTCCTAGATTGATACTGTTATTACAGTGTTTCAAATGGGCAGTTTCACATGGACTTGTGTTTTTATGTTCAATACAGTTATGCATTTCGATAAAATATTAAGAAAACATTTTACGTTCCAATTTTCATTTGGATGTATAATTTCAGGTTATTGCTGGAGCAGCCAACAAAAGGAGCGAGAAGGCCCAGAGTAGAAAAGGCAAAGAAGTGGTAATTCACGGGAAATATGCACCTATGCAATTAGCGGGTTATGATATAGCTCTTATAAAGGTAGCGTGAGTTAGTTAAAGGGCTCCATTTATTATAAATAATTAATTATTACTAAGTAAATGTGGTTTTTAGGTAGATAATCCGTTCAATATGAGCTCCCTTAACATTGGTACGATTTCCCTGTCCTCAGAAGAATGGCCACAAGACAACCAGATGCACGTGAATTGCAAAGTGTTAGGTTGGGGCAGGATCAGTACAAACGGAAAATCACCAGATGTCCTTCAACATCAAGATGTCGTGGCTAAACATGGAACAGATGGATGCCCTTGCGTTAAAAGGTAAGTCTTAGATCTATGATTTATGGGGAGGGGAGAGGGGCTAACTGTCCTTCAGCCTTAATATCTTACATTTAATACAAATAGTACAATAGTAATAATAATGAAATAAAACTTACGAGTCCACCTGCACTTTGCTTATAAAAAGAAATATCTGGTGTGTCCACTCACACTACTTTCCTACCTATTTCAGAAAAGTTTTTATATCTTTACATTTTTCCATGAAGAAACAAAAAAAAGTATTGAACTAGATTCATTTTCCTAAAAATTGATCAAACAAAAGATTTGAGTATGATTTATTTGATAAACTAAAGCAATGTAAACCGGCTTAAGGTAGATCAGAGTAAAAATTTCAATACTCACTTATATTGCTGATCAAAAACTTTTTGCCATAGCTTAGTATTGTAAAACAATCATTTCTGTTAAAAGTAGAGAAAATAGTGAAGATTGTGTGATGCGGGCAACAGATTTTTTTACTTTCACTTAGTCATCTTTATTCTCTCATTCACTCCTTTCTGACACCCGGATATGAACCCGTAATCTTACATTGGAAATTGAATAGCTGTAACTTCGTTAGTAGTTGTCCAAAATAAACGATTTTAAGTGACTTTGTAGGAAATTTCATTACCTTTCAAACGGCAGGTTGAAAATCGCCCATAGAAAATTTGACCCGATTGCAATACTTTCCTTACCTAGTATAGGTAAGAAAGTAATAAGTTATACAATGTGTAAAAAATAGAATTAGATGTATCATCGCTAATACTGGTACGATTCCGCTGATTTTGTTTTGTTTTGTTGGTTATTTAATTATCTTTCAAAAGTTTTATTATAAATTTTACCGTATAATATATACTTAGGGAGTTAGGCCCCATAACATTTTTCTTTTCTTTATAACTTTTTTTCCTGAATTTTTTTGGGAATTTAGACTATATACGAAAATTGAAAGAACAATGATTAGAACATTATAGGAAAGTTTCATCAAAATCGTTAGACCCGTTTTTGCCCTACAGTCTATAGAAAAACATGTTTTTCATTTATTGCGCGCAAGCTATTGCGCATGGAGCACCGAATTTCTGTCACAGGCATCTGTTGTCAAAGCCCTACAAAATAAAAAAATAAGCAACAAAATCGGTTCTCTAGTTCCCGAGAAAATCATGGCCAGACAATTAGACAGACCGATATGCCAGACATAGGCATTTCGGAAATTTGACCCAATTGCAATACTTTCTTTACCTAGTATAGGTAGGAAAGTAAAAATTACTCTATGACTAAAGAACAAATACAATTCTTTTCATCCTCCTTAGAACTACACGACATAACATACAACAGCAAGAAAACAGAAAAGAAAGAAAAATACAATAGAACAAAAAAAAAAGAACTTCTTCCTAGATACATACTTGATTTACATCTACCATTACCAACAATAGAAATTATATGTATTACAATTTCCGCCCTTTACACAGTTCACTTCCATTTTTTGGGTTTTGCCTGCAATTTCATTTACAAGCAACATAACAACAACAACAAATTATTTCCTATGTGCAGTGATGAGGGCAATCCGGTTCATTTAGTATTTTCTATCTCTACAAACGGCAGTTTCAACTGTTCAATATGAACTGTCCATCTCTTTTGGGGCTTGGAGCTCTTTAATACTTTCTACAGTTACTAAATTATGCTCCCTAATGGCAACTACCCTGAATCGGCCCTCGTATTGTATCAATTATTTCTCTTGATTCGTTCCCATTCTCCGTTATACGGTTGTTCCAATTTTTAAATATCCCATCTTGTCTAGTATTCTTACATTCTCTCTACCTACCCTTTTCCTCTTTTCCCTCTCTATTTTCTCTCGTACTTTTTCCCCAATTCTACCCAATTACTAATTTGTTCAGCCACTTGGTCGTTGGTCGCCATTTTCCCGCAATCTCGTCTTCGATACGGCAACCGTTCGATGCCACCTCTGCTTTTGGGGTGTACTGGTGTGTTGAAGTGACAGGCTCTCCAATCGTTTCGCCTCTTCTCTAATTGAGACATTGGTAAACTCCCTTCCTCCATCGGACGAGATTCTCTCGGGTACCCCATAAAACTGCATCCATCATCGTAAAGCCACTAAGACAGCATCTGACTATTTATACTGTATTCGGTAGGCCATAGCGTGTTTACTGAAGAGGTCAATAGTGGTGGAACACTTAAAATCTCTCGATGCGAAGGTGTCGATCAGGAGATCTTTTAATGGTGCGTCTCCTCTTGTCTTCCCTGAGGAGGGTGTCTCATATTTCGTGCGCATAAACATCTTGCACGTCCCTATTGTTTCCTGGATGGTTTTTCTCATTCCCCATCAAAAATACATTCTAAGTAATGCCGGACTGGTCTCGTACACATCCCGGTACCGAAGTGTCACTTCTTTTTGTCGTTTTTCAAATCCTATTAATTTTCTCTCATATTGTGGGGTATTTGGTTAGTTGAACAGCTGAAAAGTTATCTTTAAGTGGTTTAACACGTTAGCTGCGGTTACGGTCTCTGGGTTTCGATATTTGTCTCGATTTCGGCCAGGATAGTTTCGAATTTTGCCTATCTTACGAAGTATATAAAATGTTCATTTTAAAAATATTTGAATGGTAATTGGATAGACGTAAAGATAGATACAAACATAGATACAAACATAAATAATCATTATATCTGATAGAGGCCGGGAACCGTAACCGCAGCTTCAGTGTTAAATAACGACAAACTCCACCATCATTTGAAGTACATTTTGTCTAGTTTACAGTAAAGCAATTGTTAATTACTCAAATTAATTTCTTTAGTTATCACTTTTAATTCAAGAGAAAAGTATAAATTTGCTACTTTTCTGCCGGTAATCAGACCAATGTTTAATTTTTTTTTTTGTAGCTCTTGTGGTCTGTTATCATTCCTACAAATATTTCAATCTACATACGGGACATATGACATACGGTACAAATACAGGCAGGTTTGCAGGTAAAACACATAGATTATATTAGAATTGTGATGCTTGAACCCCAAGTGATAGCCGGATGGCAGTTGACTTCTTGATGGAATAAGGCTGTTTTTTTTTTTTTTTGTTTGTTTTAGGATGGTTTCCTTACAAACTTTTTTTTTAATTTGATTCATTCATTTGAAACTATTTATTTCTTATTTTAAACTGAGCTGAATTTATTTTTGAGTTTTTTAGTTATATAAAAAAAACCTGTTGTTTCTAGAACCTGGGTATCTATTACTGATTTAATATACGCTGTCATAATTTCTCAAGTTTATCACGAATAATTAACTAACAGACTGTATTGAACAAAAAATTGGTAAAATACTAAATTGTTTGACAATTAAACAGATTTACAAAGATCTACCATCAGAATTAAACCTTCCGGTTCATTCAGTTCATTTATTTTACCGTGTATTTCGATAGATTTCACAGTATCTTATTATTTTCTATTAGCTTTCATTATTTTTTATTATTTTTTTTTTTTGTTAGCATTACAGACCATGTAGATCTTTTGCAGCCTTAACATTAGTCTGTGGGCCAGACCCTTCTACCGTGCACCCCCTTTCCCCACCGCATCCCTATAAATTGCATATCGTTATGTTCCTAGTAACTATTTATTTAAAAAAAAAGCTATGTTCCCACCAAAAAAAAAAAGTGCGAACATATATCCAATTTAAATTACCTCTAAGAATCAGTAAATATGCAAATTAAAGTGTTAAATTGTAAACGTTAAATAAAAAAATAAAGATATTCAGCAGAGTAGTGTTGAATTAATTTTTATTATTACATAATTTTTATAATAAAGACCTTCTTAAACGACCTTCCTATAGAGTAAAGGAAATTAAATTTAAAAAATAATAATAAATTAAAAAAATTATATAATTTTTTGGACAATTAAATTATTACATTAATATTTGTTCGTTAATAAAATCAATATAATATAATACCAAAAACGTTATCATATCACTATTACTAAGCCATTTATGAGTACTGAATGGCGTGGTATAGGCCTCTAGTCACCTACACCAGTACCGCTTTTCTGCCGCTTAAGTGCATTTTCTACAGAACTACTTCAAATATTGTAAAAAGTAATGAGTGTTTTAGAAAGAAAAATATATTTCCCAGATGTCTTATTTCAGGACATTTTGCGTTATTGTTGGCCGTTTAATTACAAACGACGCTTGATTTTTAACTTCAAAATTTTGTTGTTGAAAACATTGACTTTACTGGTGTTTTTTATTGCCTATGCCAATTATTTTTGAATATTTTTTCATGTTTTCTTATTGTCTGACTATCCAGCTTTAATAAAAGATCAACTATGACAAAATTAAGCCAAATGCTAACTAACTAAAAACTAACTAATGTCAAAGTCGTTAGTCCGTCATGTTTGGACGCTATTTTGGGACAGTTCGTTCACTTTTCTTTTTTTTTAGTGGGAATATTGACTTTTTTTTTTTTTTTTAAATAGTTACAAGGAACACAACGATATGCAATTTAGTATGTGGAGGGTGGGAGCCTGCTTACAAGCCTGCTTCATCTCTGCCTGTCTTGAGCTATTTCTTTCCAGTTATCTGCACACAGCTCTATTGAATCTATTGATTCTATCTATCCATCTGCTTTTGGCCTTCCTCGTGGTAGTTACGTAGAGGCTCCTAGATGGATTGCTACGGACTACATGCCTCGCCCATCTTAACCTCCGTGCCTTCATACGGTTATTGATTGACCAGTTTTCTTAAGCAATTCTTTATTGGCCTTTCTTCTCAATGAATTAATACTCTAATTCCAGATCGCTTTGGATTTTTCTATCAAATCATTCAACACCTTTTTCTAGAATGGTTTGTATTCAGGTCTCACAGCCATATTTAGAACTGGCTTTATCATAGCACCCTTAATTTCAGATTTTTCGAGATCATTGAATTATTATTATTATTATTTAATTACATAACTTAATATGCCATTTCATTGTTTTTCATTATTATTCTATCTTTATTTTATTTCCTCTGAACATAATATCAATTTATAACTTCCTGAATTCTCATTACTTCCAAAATTTATATATGGTACACTTTCCATTCCATATATTTATCAATGTTAAGTCAAATTACTTACATATACGAGTACTAGTCTAATTATTTTTACATACCTGTCTAATTTTTTCCACGGTATTTATTTGTTAACTGGTCTTTGCTCAGTCCTGATAAAGTTTTGAAACTTCGAGACAAGGAAGTTTTCTTTTACTTTCAATCGCTGCAATTCGCTACAAATTTGGTTTTATAAGAATCTAAAATCTACTACTTCTTCAACATTAATTTAAATTTACTTTTATTTTATTATTTTTTCTATGTATCCATCGTTTTAATTTAATTTTTTTATTTCGTACTATGAGTCACATAGTAATAATCTTAAAATGCTGTTAAATACTTTTTATATTTAAGTGTATCATATACTTACTGTTAAGAACTTTTTTCAGATTCGAACAGAAGAGGTTAGTGTGCATTGAGGGAATGGTCGGTAAGGGTCCATGTATGGGTGATTCTGGAGGTCCTTTGGTTTGCAATGGTAAAGAAGTTGGGATAACCCACATGGGCTTCAACCGACAAAAATGTAATCCAATTTATCATCAAATTCCCAAGACTACCTGTGGCGACAAAGACACCGTTGTCACTTACCTGTATCTCTGTCCAGAACTTAATTGGATTAGAAAATTTGTGCCTGTGGTACCAGCTAAACCTGAGTCATGTTCAGCCATCGTACATCGTAGATATAATCTTTATTTTATAACAGTTTTAGAGATTTTTGTTGTTTATGTAGTGAATATTTTTTAATATGTGTAAATAAACTTTAATGTAATATCAATTAAAAATAAATGAAATCTATATATATTGTGTATACTTATGGAACGATTTCTTTCTTCTTTTTTTCTAACCATCCAGAAAGTTTATTTAATTACAATTACATATTTAAGTATAACAAAATAAAAATATATACAAAGAACAAGGTTCCACTGCCCGAGGGCATTTTAAGGGTTGGGGATAGGTAATGGTAACATTTATGGCACAAGATCTTGTAACTTTCATTGAACGGGGAAGGAACGTTCTGCTGGTTATTTATTATTTATGCTATTTACAATATATACAAATTAAGGATTTGGACCGCAGAGTCCAGACCACATCCTTCGGCAAATATGTCCACCAAAGGGAGTTTACCTTGCTACCTCCCAGGTCTGGGTGGTGGTGAGATCTCATTAAATAGTGGGTTTGCACAGGCCTTAGCACCTTAAAAATTTTGAGGTGATATGATCCTCTCGTATTGTTTGATCCTTTGCCCTTTATAGGGTGGTGCCAAGGACAATTCGCTGAAGGATAGAGTTCTGGAAGCCCTGTAGTTCCGTAAGAGAGGATTGTTGATACAGGGAGCGCAGGAGAGGGAGCTCGATGGAGGAGTGTAGGTCTTATTATAGCTTTATAAATTTGGAGCTTGAGTCTCAGCGACCTCTACCTCAGTAGGTTGTTAGGGGGCCGGTATGAGTATGACTTCTGTCGTGCCAGCTTGATCTTCTGCCTAACGTGACTGAAGGTTGTTCGTGAATAAATGGGGAAAACCCGAAAAAAGAGCGAAAATATAGCAGTTTTTTGGATATTCCAAAGTGATCCTGGGGGGCGCCAAGGTCGAAAACTTGGATTATGCATCTCAGTCATATCCCATACCCAGAAAATAAAAAGAAACCTACCTCCATTCAATGAAACGTACGATGTACAATGTTACTGGGCTAAATATGTTGATGTCCATATGTTTTAACTTTAATTTTAGATATGACTGCATTATTGATCCTTTTGCGAGTTGATTGATCATTCTTCATTATCATTAAATATCATTCTTGAGTTGATATTTAGGTAAATAATTTGATTAATAAATAGATTCAGGTAATTTGAAAAATAAATATTGACTCTATTTTATTTATCTATGTTTTTATTGGTAATAGATACTATTATATTTACCAGTAATTAATCAATTGTCAATACTTGTTCGAATTTATCATACATTTCTCGAAAGTTCTTTTAGTGTTGACACATATTTCATCTGATAATAATTAAAAATAAATAATTAAAATCACTATACATGAGTTAAATAAGTGTAAAATCAGAAGAGATAATATATTTACCAGTTCCCTGCCAACTGTCTTCAGGACAATTCTAAATCAACAAAAAGACAAAATATTTTATTTTAATATCCTTATTTTCTGCACGACGTACACTAAAATTTTATTTAGTTTATCTTCCAACCATAACAATCTATAACTTCAGCATTCTTTAGATTTATTACTTTTTTCTCATTTGAAGCGCAATATCTAATGTTTTATTAATGGGAAATCAATCTTATTAAAATTATACAAATAAACTCACCAGAAACATATTTCTTTCTAAACAGTTACCAAATTGGAAAGCACCACTCTTACATTTTGCCTCTGGTTTTGTATCTGAAAAGAAGTAAATAGCAAATATAAGTTCTTTCTTTACTTATTTATTAACAGAATGCTTAAAAATAATTATCTAAAAAATAACCTCAAATGAAAAATATATGTGCGTGGCACTGGCACTATAGGTCCCACTACAGAGGAACGGCTATGTATTGAAGATCTTGATATGTGAATTAAAATATTTCATGAATTAAAACTAAATATAGTCAGTCCAGTGCTGCAAAATCTAGATATTCCAAAACAAAATATTACAGGTAGACTTGGAAAGAATATTGGTAGCTGCTGGGGTTCGACGCTCAGAAATAGTATATGGCCACAAACAATAAAAGAACGCTGTCACAAACATTATAACTCTTTCTGTGACATGTGTGACAGAGAAAACGATATGTTTTATTAACACAATTTTAATTTATGTCGTCTCGATTTTTTTATTTAAGCCATCACAGAGATCTAAATTAAATCAGAGAACGTTTTAGGTCGAGGATGAAAAAGAAGAAAATAAATCTAAAAATCCAGTTTCAACAACTGTATAACTAAATATATGTAAAACTTGCAGTAGATCATTTTTATTGGTTCCTAAAAGATGGTTTTATTATAGGCTTTATGAAAGTTTTCACACATTTTTTGTACTCACGTGATTTTGTAAGATACTATCTAAAGTCAGAAAATATTTTAAATTTTCTAATAGCTACATGTATGAAAACTTGAGTCCTGAATTGCGAAAAATATGATTATCAACCATTTATATGGAATGTATAACAAAAGCACAAAAACAGCACTGTTTTAAAACTTATAAAAGTATACTTATTAATCAATTATGTGTAAAGTTTAAATTGTATAAAATATTTCTCAATATTATCTGCAATTTTCAATGATCATGTATTGAGAATATTTTAAGATAATGAAAAAAAGGATAAGTAAAAATTAAAAACCTACAATCATTTGCAATGCATGTTTGAACAGTCCGAATAATAGATTCTTTCCACTGAGGAAAATTTTTCAATTCTTCATTATATTCCGCAATTATTACGTTCTCGTCTGGTTTCAAATCAGCATTCTAGAAAAAGAAATATTTAAAAATAAATTTATTTCATCATATGTATAGATGGTAAATTTATAATATCATCTATATATTATAAATATGATATAGTAGAGTTAATAATATTGAAAATGCAATTCTACTTCTTCTTCATGGGCGCTACAACTCATCGCTGAGTCTTGGGCTCCTCTTTTAATCTCACCCATTGATCTCTCTTGCAGCTGTCCTCCAGTTAGCTATTCCAAGAAGATATCTACCATCCGCATCGACCCCATCCATCCATCGCAGTCTAGGTTTTCTAACTATTATCTTCTTATTATAATATTTTTCTTTTTGGACGCGTCAGCATAATTTTACTGTTCGTAGGACTAGTCCATAAATGCGGCATAGTGCTTTTCTTTCAAAGACCAGCAGCTTGGTTTTATCTGTTTTGGAGAAGCTCCACGTTTTCGCTCCTTATGTAAGGACAGGACGAATCAGATTGGATTTCATGGAGATTAAGCGATTGCATATGAAAATACAATTAATGGAATATATCACAATCACTGCACAAGATAAATTTTGTGGTTATCCCTGCTATATGTTCCTAACGCGGTCTTACCTTTTTTTGTTACCCTGCTCTCAGTGAAATATAAAAAAAAAACGAAGAGAATAGGGAAGAATTGGAAGTGCTCCACTGAAGACAATAATAGAACAGACAACTCAACATGTTTGCTTATGTTTGTCGAATGAATAAAATGAGAAAACCCTGTATGATATTGGAAACTAGATCTGAAGGTAAAATGCCATCCGCCCGTCCAAAGATCTAGTAATAATGTATACAAAGGATAGGGGTTAATAGAAGTAAAACATTTGTTGACATAAATCACCTGAAGTAGGGAATAGAAAGACGGGGTGCATCTAGATTGATTAGGTGCAAAACATCTAGGTCATCACCGCCTTGTCCATAAAATATTATTATTAAAATATTTAGATGGTAGGTTTAATGGGTAATATATATAACAATAAAAAAAAATAAAAATAGATAAATAAGTGAAAATAATAGATACAATATATATATATATATATATATATATATATATATATATATATATATATATATATATATATATATATATAAAATAAAAATAATAATAAAAAGTAAGTAAAAGAGTAATAATAGTAAAAAAATAAATAAATAAAATAAGTGGAAAAAAGGTAATCTATATATATAAAGAAAAACAAATTACATAAAATAATAAGACAAATAGACATTATTATTATAGCTGTTTCATTAAATTTACTCTTGTTAGAAATGTTACTATTTTGTCAGTTCTATTGCTGTCGTTTCTTAAGGCTAGTGATATATTTTGTATTATCTAGATTGATACTCTTTTTGTGATATCATCTAGATTGATACTCCTCTACATCAATAATGGCTTTAACCTCTTCCAGAATGAAAAAGCACTATGTTTGAAGATGTTTAAGTTTTATTTTTTATATAGCTCGTTATTGTTTAGGGCTTAGAGGTGCAAAACCCGGAGGTCATCAACGCCTATCTAATCTTTATTTCAATTATTTTAGATCGCTTTAGATACTTTAAATAGCTCGTCCTTTTGCTTTTAATCAATAGAATTTATGCCATTTTGTGAAATTTTTTTACGATTCCCTGAAAGTGGTGTAGAACAATAGAGAACATGTCAATAGTCAAAGTGTATTAGTAGTCATGCAGTACTTTTTATGAGGATATGTGAGTCAGCGTAGCTACATCAATGTAAGATCACTCTTTCCAACTACCCTCAGTCGGATCTACGTGGAGAGGGCTTCGGGCTGAATCTCCTCCTCCTCCCCCTCCCCTAAAATGGTAAAATATAACTATGTTTTATAGAATCGGGGTCGCCGAATGTCTAAGGCGGGACTGGTCTGAAGCAGTTACGAAATGCAATTAGGAGTTGATGAGGCCCATCAGTGTAAAGGACTTTATCTGCTTTAAAGTCTTTAAGCCGGTTTATTGCATTGGCATTGATGCAAATATCGTCCCATTACTGAAGATCTGAAGAACAGCAGTAATCTTGGATCCAGCAGATTTGAGATAAATGGTCTAGATCATTCAGGCGAAGTATCCCTTTATAGAGAAATTCCGCTAGAACTTTAGAGAGACTGAACAGCACATAAATTATTACACTAAGGCTCCAAATAGGTTTCGTACCAAATACAAGCTCCCAACATGAATGAGTTACCGTTGGATTGAGCATTTCACGGGGCGTAAACGAATCATTCTCTCCGATTTTGTTTTTCTTTCTAAAATAAATAGTTTCTCTCTATATATCTAAAAGTTTAGAGCTCATTTTATGTGAGTCTGCAAAATATTTGCTCCAGGTGTATTTTGTAAAAGGGAGTTACATTTATTCAAGTATATGCTCCTACAGAGGATAACAGTCTCGGAGATAAAGAGAACTTCTATGAGGACATTCAGCGTTGACTCAGCAAACACTAGAAATAGAGGAAAGATCATAATCGGTCACATAGTGTGATAGGTAGATTTGGAGGGGAAGATACAAAGAACAGCAATGGACAGAGACTTCTGGACTTTGCATTGGAAATAACCTCCTCCTAGGAAATTCCTTCTTTAACCACAAGATGATTCACGAGGTAACTTTTGAAGCTGGTCGCTGACATAAGGATTATAAAGCCTAGAAACGATAACAGGAAGACATATGATAGGATATCAGTTGAAACTGTACGACAGGAGAATAAAAGGCAGGAATATATGGAAGCTCTGGAAAGGAAGTAGGGGCATGTCAATTATGACATGGCACTAGATCCCTTATGGAGCTCAATCAGAGATCGCATTCGTAAAGCTGGTTTGGAGGTCTGTGGAATGAAGAATATCAAACCAAACACCAGGATGATCAAATGGTGGAATGGTGAAGTTACCACAGTGATGAAAAAGAAGAAAATTGTTTGGACGGCTTACAAGAGGTCTAAATCACCTGAGGACTGGGAAGCATACGTGAGAAGGCGAAACATTGCAAAAGCAACCGTGAAGCAGGCTCGGAGTAAAGCCTGGGAGAATTTTGGAAAGGAGATTGAGGAAAATTACCAGGAGAATATTCGAAAGTTCTGGACTAATGTGAAACGCACGAGAGGGAAGAAAGGAAAACAGGAACATTAAGGATAATAAAGGTCAGTTTGTAACGGCAGATAAGGAGATTATGGAGGTATGGCAGAAACACTATGAAACAAAAGTCTTATTGGAGGAATACAGAAGTGACCGGATAGTGGATAGAAGATACCGCCCGAGGACAGTGTACGTGCAGCCTGAGGATATGGTTGACACAATCCAAGAAGAAGAGATGGAGGATGCAGTGACACATATCAAGCTTCGAAAAGCTGCAGAAATAGATGACATAGCACCAGAAATTGTAAAGTTTGGTGGACCACCGTTGGTGAAAACATTACAGAACCTGTTTCAGAGGATATGGAACTCTGAGATCATACCTGAGAAATGGAAAGAAAATTTAAGTATACCTGTATACAAGGAGGGAGACCAGACCCTATGTGAAAACTATAGGCCAATATGCCTCTCTTTGGTGGTGTATAAGGTGTACACAAGGATCGTGGAGCAGCGGCTGAGAGAATATGTCCAACCTAACAAGGAAGAAGAACAAGCTGCTTTCCGGGCTTCAAGATAAACCCAGAACCATATATTCTCTCTCAGGATGATTACGGAGAAAGCGCTGGACCGAGGACGAAATGTTTACCTTGCCGTTTTGGACTTCAGAGCGGTCTTTGACTCGGCCGCTCTCTCCCCAGACAGGAGATTTTTACTGCCTTACAGGAGAAGAGGATATTACCGAACCTCATTAGTGCAACTAAATAATTTTGCCAGGGTCCAAAAGGCGTGGTTAGATTGAATGGAATGAAGTCTGCTCCATTCAGATTTTATGAAGGAGTCAAGTATATGCTATAGTGTAATACCTATACCTTCTGATTAACATTGTCATGGGCGAGGTGTTGAAGGTATTCAAGCGAAGAACACCCAGAGCAATCGTTGGATACTGGAATATGCTGCCCGTCCAGGCATAGTGCTTCGTTTATGCAGTAGACATTGTGGTGATAGCAGACAATTCTCTGCAAGGTGCAGTGGAAGAGTGGTCCGAGGAGCTTAAGAGAAGAGGATAGGACTGAAGGAGGAGGAGCTCAGGATAGAGTGTGAAGGACACCAACTGGAGTAAGTTGATATTTATGAATATCTGGTAATTATCTTCAGTCGTGATGGGAAGATGGACCAAGAAGTTGTGCATCGAGTGCGTAAAGCTAACCAGGTCTTCATCCAAATTTCCAGAATACTTGTGGGCAAACAAGAGGTGAGCAAAGAGGCGAAGCTACGCATCTTTAAATCTATCTGCCTCTTGTTATATGGAGCTGAGAGTTTGGGTATTTTTGGACAAGAATGCCTCACGAGTGACGTCAGCAGAAATGAGGAATCTCAGAAGAGTTGCTGGAAAGACAAGACGAGACTGCGTGTGAAACAGGACAGTTAGAGATATCCCTGGAGTTAGACATATAAGGGATTTCATAGAGGAATGCCAGCTCAAGTGGTATGAACATGTCTGCAGGATGGGGGACGAGTGGTTGGACACATACCGAAGGTGGGCCGAGACTACTCCACGCTTAACAGTACAAAGTAGATAGGTAAAGAAGAAGAAGAAATATTTCGAGTGTCAGAAATTTTTACATTTGTAATACGTAAATATCGTCATTTCGATTCGGAATGTCGTTTACACGAATATAATATCTAATATCAGATTTATTCATCTTTTACATGCATTTCGGGTTATCCTCTCATCGAATATTATTGCGAGAAATTGCACTCTGCCCACGGGCGGATCTACGGGGGGGGAGGGCTTTCGGGCTGAAGCCCCCCCCCAAAATGGTAAAATATAACCATGTTATATCGAAAAAAAATATTAAAAAAGTATCTCTTAAAGTATTATTGTTCGTGTAATTACATTTAAAAGAGCTTTAGGAATCACTTAAACACCATTTCATACAGGTAGTTAGTTTCTTTCTTTTTTTCCAAAGTAATTATCGTTATTTTTATGAAAGAAACAACTTTCGGGCTGAAGCCCCCCCCAAAATTAAATTCTGGATCCGCTAGTGACTCTGCCTATTTGTGGTACCGATGATCCATAAAGATAAACGGTGCCATGCTCGAGTGAGAACGTAATAAGCAAGATTTATGTTGGTTTGGTCGGTTTTTTTTTAAGTTTATACCGATCGTATAACTTTTTTAGACCGAGTGTAAGTAAAGTCAAATCTTATACAAAAATTATTTTCTTATTTAATTCTAATCAAGTTACATTTCCAGATCCCTATATGAATAGACCTTTAATAAATTTTTAATTTTATGTAAGTTGCAGTTATTAATTTATCTAATTTATTGGTCTTTTTTCCGTATACCGAACAATTTCCGCCGAAACTACCGGAAAGAAATAGTTATTTTTTTTTAGTCTTCCTGTAATGATTTCATCGCCAGGTAACTAACAAAATAACAAAGCGTGAAATAGGAAACATCGAAGTATTGGGTTGGCAAATAAGTCCTTTCGGTTTCTCGGCACCCCATCAATGAGTTACCCCACTTCATATCTTTCATAGTAAAAATAACTCAAATTCCACACAATGTACATAGTCTGAAATAGATTCCTTCTTTCTTAAATCATTAAAATCGTATATATTTTTTTATTCTTAAAACTTATTTATTGAAAAATATGACAATCTGTCACAATTAAGGACATTTAATAATAGTGAAAATCGTATTAATATCAAAACCGTAGTTAAATATTTTCGAGTGATTTTATAATGCATTCATATTCAATGATGAGAAAGTCTTGGAACAAATCTCAAATTTTTGTACAAATGATAATTGTTTAAAAGTGTTCTTATTTACTTAATTGTAAATTGATTTAATCTTTAGTTATTGTAGATGTAATATATATTTGTATTGTATGCATATTGTAAATGTAATATATATTTGAATTAGTATTATTTTCAATTAACAAGCCAAGGGACCAATCCGTTGTTTTGGCGTTATGTTTCCCGTTATGCTGTTCCCTGAGTATTACTACCACATTGTTCAAATGTCACTACTTTGTTATCTACTTCAGTCTTTATTCTTTATTGTTTACATCAAAAGCAATTGTTTAAAGGCTAGGATACTGAGTGTATCTGTAAAAACTATTCTAATATCGGAATTCTCCTCAATTGGCTTATTATTTTCAGTAATGAACCATAGTAATCCAACAAAAAATTAAAAAACTTAGCCCCCTCTTAACGGCCTAATATTTTTGTAGGCCACCTTTTTTTATCGAATTTGTGATCAAATTATCTTACGATCCAAGTTGAAAGCAAATGGATATTTATGAGTTTTTAGTACGTAATTAAATTGACAAAGTTTGCCCCCATCCAGATTGAAAACGCCCCAATTCTAAGAGTTTTCGTTAATAAAATAGTTGTAGATTACGATTAGATGCAGCTATTTACGAAGTTTCAGGCGGATGTTAATAATTCGAAAAAAAGGAGTCTGTACCACGGACTATAACATAAATACGTATATTAAGAAAATTGATGAATAACAACATTGAGGTTATAATGAGGTTACATCCAGCGGATTCATCGACCCCAAAATCCGATAGATCCATCAATGAATCAACCGATGAATAAAGGAACATTCTAATTTCTATAGATGTTTTCCATCTATGAGTTTAGGAACGATCTGATGAATTTCCAATGCCTCCGATGAGATCTGCGCTGAATTCAAAAACTCTCCCACTCCTTGGTACAGAATTAAGATAATTTCATCTATGTTAATCTTTGGACAATACAAACAAACTTTTTGAAATACAATATTGATTGGTATTCGGTCAAAATATTTTATCTTTCAGGGTCATAAAGTGTCCTCTTATGATTATTCTTTTTCTAACTTGTTATCATTATCAATACAAAATAAAGCTTTGTATTTGCTATAGACTACGAATTATCAATTAATTCAAAATAAATGTATATCTATTTTTTATTAGTTGACATTATTAATTACTATTTGATAAATATTATTAAGAAAAAAAATACATTTATTTATTTCTGCTTTTTCTCATTTTTATCGATAAAGGTTAGTAGAAACTAATTATTTTCTGGCGATAACATCAATTTGTCTTTGCTTACTAACTGTGTCTAGCAAAACCTCAAGATACTAACCAACCAGATCGTTCAGTCTGCGTTTTGGTGGAACACCAAGACGCGTATATGTCGGTGTTGTGCTGACCACTTTTTTAGTGATTTAGCCTTTCTCATCATGTTCCTTCGAAATTTTAAAAGATATCAAGATTAAAAATGAGCATTTAATGAGGTCGGAAAATATTATCTCTCTAAAACAAAATTTTCCTATTGCTTATCCTCCACCCGCTTCCTCGCCCTCAATTTAATGTCACTGATTCTATTTCAACAAACTAATAAATTTCCATTTTATCACTAAACAAATCTTTCAATCTTTTATATTTATCGCGTAATTTGTCAAACAGTAACTTTTTAATAGATCTCGACCCACAAATCTCACTTAAAAAAATAGAAAAACAATTTAGGTAAAGATTAATGAAAACTTACCAACCAATTGGTAGCATTCAAGTAACATTCTTGGAAACACTGAAATAAAAACATTTAAATAATATCAATTTATTGGAGTTTCTAAATAGTTGTCAAATATGTTAATACATACTTCATACATTTCCTCTTCTTCTTCTTCGGTAAACGCTACATAGGGGAGAAAACGAAATATTAAACCGTATTAAATAAATGATATTTTTATTTACGCAGACAAAGAACTAATTTAAAAATTTCTCAATATACATATCTTAATATAATTTTTCAATTATTATATATTCCATGTATCTATAACCTTCTAAGACTTTTAATTTATCTTATGTTGTTGACATATTTTATTATATTATTTATTCCTGAGTATTTTACATATTTTGCGTAATATAATTCGAATGTTCTTAAATAGTTATGTGAGATAATAACGGATTACTTACGCACTGGCTGGTCTGCAATTGTAGCCCTGTGACATGATTCAGCTATAGCTTTTTTTTCTTCTGATAGTTCCAATTCAGGCAGTCTGCAGCACCTAGAAAATGTCTGACACGAAAATGAATGTTTATATGATTATCTAACAATAATTATTATTTAAGATCATTCATTATTTGTATTCACAAATGGATGACAATGATAGTAACTTACATGAAGAGTCTACATGAATTCTAGGCCATTCTCCTTTGTTCACTTTTACAATTAATTTTTAATTTATCTTTTTAGGTTACAATAAATAACAATATTTTAATTTTTTTTAATTTGAAAGATTAGTAACCCAAAGCAACCGTGGCATTTAGGAGTCTATAGCTAGAAATTTTCATGTTCCATGCGTTATATAACTTATTTTAAGCTTTTAAAAGCAGAGCCTGGTAAAATTTCTATGGATATTGATGCTCTTGATATCTAAAATCTTTAAAGCAATTTGTCTCGTTTTGATCCTTCGATTTACAAACACAGAACCTAGTTAATAATTGATAAAGTGTTCAATTCTTAGCATTCAGACATGAATACATTTTTTTTTAATGTGACATTATGCAATGTTGATGGCTTAGTGTAGTTTATTAGACTTGGTTATATAGTTTATTAGTTTATATTTTGTAAGACTAGTATAATGAGAAAGGAAAAGAAAGAAAGATATATATATATATATATATATATATATATATATATATATATATATATATATATATATATATATGTAATGGTAGAATAATGCAATGTATAAATTATGTCCAAATGGGTTGACACATTTCTTTTCTTGTAACTCAATCATCACAGTAACCATATTTTTAATTAACGATATGCTTTATTATTAATTATGATTTAATTATTTCATTATATTTATGTTTTAATTAAATGACAGCTGATAATTAATGAGTAACCAATTCAATTAGTGAAAACTGATTAATATTGTATATTTTTTATCACCTCGATGCTGCATAAAAAATATTTTTATATAATTTATCTACGTTCATTGACATACATAATACATGTACGTTGATAATGAGTGGCCTTGAGAAGAGATGTGATAATCAAAATGAGTTAGATGTAGTTTCAATTCATATATAACTATGTTCGTAATATCATGAATTGAAAAAATAAAGTAACAAAATATTTTTCCTGGATCTCAGGAAATACTAAATTTATTGAGGTATAGTAGGGCTTAAATTTTATATAACTTATTCTATTTCAATGATGATATGTACCCAGTTTTTTATGCTGTTGATAGTTTTTATAATATAATACGGAATAAGAAAACATGATTTTTTTTTTTGTTTATTATAAATAGGGCAATTCATGGATAAAATTCAGATGGTAAACTTCTAATTACTCAGCACACTCAAAGACATGGCAATGTAAATTATCAAAACTCCCTCAAAACTTTTGGGAACCCATTGCCTGAATTATTTTATGTGATCTCCATTAGAATGACTCCTGATTCATCCGTCCATAAATTACAAATACATTAAATGAGATCAAGTTCTGCTGGTTAAAAATCTTTTAAATTAATCAATTATTTGTTTGATATAAATTATGTATAAAGGAAATTTAAATTTTAAATATTTATTTTTTTTAAATATATTGTTTTTAATAAAAACATGTTTACATTTAAAAAATAAAAAATAATACAGACTACTGGATGAACGTAATGTAGACTGATTTTAATATTTAGAAAGATTCTAAATTATTTTGGTTCGTTTTATTTTGTCATTCTTTGGTGGATGTTTTTTTTTCTATTTTTTTCAAGGAATTAGATTTTTTAAAGAAGCATGTACATACAATTTTTCTAATTATAACTATATAATAATAATCCAGAAGGGAGGAAACCATATTGTGCCGAATACGAATTGGTCGCTGCCTTTTCACAAACGGGTACCTTGATATAGGTCTGGAAGTAACCATGTGCCAAAAGCGTGACAACTGACCACAATCAGTAAAACAAGTGTTAGTTGAATGCCAACCCGGAAATACTGAGAGACAATGAAGATAAGAATCTCTACCCTGCTTAAATACTTAGTAGGAACTAGGTATTATAATAGAGTATAAAAACTTACATCCCTTAACTTAAAACTTAAAAACTTATGATTCTCAAGGCTAGAGACGATAACAAATAAAAAAAAAAATATAACTCACACTTAGGTCATTAGTAATATTCATACACTCTCCTATTTCTTCGGCGCCATAGACCTCATTCTGTAACATTCGATAAAATTTGAATAAATAATTTGAAATAATTTCATCAAGATTCTTTCTAAAACCATTATCAACAAGTGTAAATATCATTTATGACAACTATTGATGTATTCATAGACATATTCATGTGTTGCTAAGAAATGCTTACGACTGAAGTGAGTTACAACATCTTACTCATGATATCTATTTTCTGCAATAGTTCAAACTTTGCATACTTCAATTTTAGCTTGTTTATTTTCTAAACTTGACAATACTTTGTAGAACTTTATGAACTTTACCGGTTCATTCTTAAAGCAATTATAACTCAGAGGTCAGTTCTAATATTTCCTCGAGAGGATTTTATCATTTACAATACTGTTTCTAATATGTTTTATTAATTAGAATATGATTTTTTTGTTGCATATACTTATAATTTATATGTTAATTGAGGCAGTGTTGTAAAAGGAGATACAAATTTTGCAGGATTACTTCCTATTGAAATTTGGTACAGAAATATAAATAGTAAGATTACAAAAATATTTTACGGGATCAACTCCTTTTCTCCGATCTTTCAAAATCACTGAAAAGACTAGTCCATTCTCAGCTTAATACCTTTTTTGGAAAAAAGCTTTCCTCTCCAGTCTGATTTTCCACACAATCAGCTTTGTTCAAAATTATCCAAGACTTTCAATTCTCCAAAGATAAATAGAAAATCTCTATCCTGATCCTGTTTAAAAGCCTTCGATTTAGTTCTTATCAACCAGTGTTCCAAAGTGGTTCCATTCTCTCTTGTATCACATCTAACAGTTTTGATCGCTAATTATATTCGTTCCTTCCTCCTCTTATTAACTCTTGGTTTTCTTCAGGGTTCTTCGCTCTTATCAACCCTTTTCTCTGTCTACTAACCACCTATCTGATTCCATCTATCATACGCAATACCACTTATATGTTAATGACCTCCAAACCTACATTTCTCTCTATGTTCTTCTACCATTACTTGAGGCGATTAATCCCACCTGAAACATATCCCAAATTATTGTATTTATTACATTTTAAGGACTTAACACACCAAAATTTAAAGTATTTGTAGAAAATATTAAATACTGACTGACACCCTTTCGCATCTGTACACCGAAGTTATTGCATAGCTGTTTTATTTTTAAAAAATGTTTTTAAATATTCCAGTAAATATAATTTTTTCTTCTTTCCAAAGAGTCAATACAAATATTGAATTGTTAAATTTTACTCTTTTGACTATACTTCTTTAATTTATTAATTTAAATGATCAGAGCGTGGTCTGAGAGCGGCAAAAATATTTATCATCAAGATTAAGGTTCTGATTATTTAAATTTCCTATGATCGATGATTATTTTTTTCACAAAATCATGTAATAATTATTATATCTGATTTGGAATTTAAAACTCGTGCCTAGCTTGTGAGCCATTTGTCGCAATTAGGTTTTATTTCTGTCATTTTGCATTCTTTCATTTCATATTCCTTCTTCCATTCTGTTAGTAGTCTTTTTTTTTTGCGTGGTATAGCTAGTCTTCTAAGGTAACTTTCTTTAGTCTTGTCTCCGCCGTTTCTTCTTCTCTCCTTGCTAAATGGGCTTAGTCAGCTTTTTCATTTCCCGGAATGCCGCAGTGGGCTGGTACCCAAACGAACAATATTGACATGCCTTTGTGTTTTGCTTCCCACCATACATTTAATATTTCTTTAATAATAGAATTAGTTGGTGATGGGTTGTCGATAGCGGCTAAGAAACTCCATGAGTCAGTTACAACGACCTATGACTTTTCCACAAAATCTGTTATAAAATAAAGACTGTTCATGATGGCAGTCGCCTCTCCTGTAAAAATGGAGCATTCACCTGGCAGTTTAAATAGTAGTTGATTCTCCTTATTTGTTACAGCACATCCTACATTGTTTCCTTCCTTGGATGCATCTGTGTATATGAATTCGAAAATTGTATAATTCAGTTTTAAGAACGATTTCTGGATTTCAATCGGGTACGTTCTTGATATTTTGGCCATCGATCTATTTATCACTTGTCTGTATTTTTTCCAATAAGGTATTCTTAATTCTGGGATGAGTCTAATAATGTTTGTGTCCATGTCTATTTTTCTTAATATTTTAAAAAAGTCCACATCTTTCGGATCCTTCTTTAAAAAAATGTGAAGTAAGAGGGTGGTGTAAAGATGATTTCAATTTAGCGTCATATTAAAGAGATAAATATTCTCGCCTCAAGTACAACGACGGTTCTCCAGATTTGGCATAGATACTGTCGATTGGAGAGGTTCGGAGTGCACCAGTACAGATTCTTAGGGCTGAGTTATGTACAGAATCTAAGGTAGTAAAATTGTTTCATTGTTATTTAATTGATTTATTAATCACATCATGATATCATATTATTTCTCATTATTTGAACATAAGAAAGAGATATGTCAGATAAATCAGAGTTAATTAGGAATATATATATAGTGTATATATATATATATATTGTATATTTTATCAGGTGAGATTTTCCTCTTCACAATTAAAATATTGAAATTTTCTCTTGTTATAATATATGTGCACGTTCACATTAATAAGTATTACTGGCGATAGTGCAATTACATACCTGCAGTAGTCCAAAAACAGGCCAAAGGAAGACCCAAATATAATCATCCATCATGTTTCAGCGACAAATAGCAAATACAGAAGATAGGAACAGGGTCCTGATGTGTACTACTGGAATGGTGGCTTTTTATAGTGATTTCGTTAGGCAGGATGTGGTTGTGTCCTTACCGATTTAATCGACATTATTTAACAATAGAAGTAATTATTTGAATATCTCTATTAGTATTTACAAAGCTATTACATACCTGGCCAATTATATTGCATATTCTAACTCAGCTATTTTCTCTTTCAAATACTAAAAAGACAAAATTGAAGCAGTGATATTATAGTGAGTGGACAGGCGGAACTAGATTTACTATTCTTAATGTTGTATATACAATCATTTTGGAGCATTTTGGGCTTATTGCAAAGTTACAGTTTTTGCTGGAAGATTTCAATACATAAATTGACAAAACATCATTTCTTTGACCAAATTGAAATAATCTACTCAAGAAAACCAATGACAATAAAGAACAGTACAAACGAATGATCAACTTTGTGCACTAACGGATCATTTAATTTTGTTAGGGGCTCCAGCCCGAAAGTTTTTTTTTCAAATACATAACGATAATTAATTTAATAAAAAGAAAGAAAGAAATTAAATACCTATATGAAATGGTGTTTAAGTGATTCTTGAAGTCATATTAAATGTAATTACTCGAACAATAATACTTTAAGAGATAGTTTCTAATATTCTTTTCTAAGAAACATGTTTATATTTTATTTGTTATGAGCACTATAAGAAAATAAGCATAAGCAAACATATCATTTGTCAAATGGTGCTTTTCCCCAAATTTATCTTGTTTTTCCCATCCTCTAAATTTAGTATTAATCAGAACACGACACCGTTTCTGGTGATTCTGGTGTAAACTGAGATCATTTTCTGGTTATTATTAAGATACATCTTAATCCTTTCTCTAGGTAGATAAAGTAAAAAAAATGGCCTAAAGGGGTATAAAGGATGAAAAAGTACGAATGTGTTTCTCAATGAGAGAGGAGATAGAGGGGGATTAATTAAGGGATATTCCAATCAGCAAAGATTGGGTGGGAAGAGGAGACAGAGGAGACACATTGGAAATATATTAAAGATATTTGTGACTGAGCGAGAGCTAACAAGTTGAATGCGGAAAAGACGAAGGCAATCTTAATAGGCTCCAAATACCTCCTTAAAACTGTTCCTAATATTCCAACTCTCTTCCTACATGATGATCCCATTAAATTTTACCCTACTATCAAAAATCTTGAAATAACCTTTGATCAAAAGGTTTCCTGGAAAAATATGTATCCAATATCTCCCACCGTACCATTTCCACCTTAAAACGTCTAAATTACTTCCATCACCTATTTCCCCTTGAAACACGTAGGCTCCTTGTCACTTCCTTAATTTATCCTCACTTGCTGTACGACTGTATTGTTGTACGGTATTTGGGGGCGTCTCTGGGATTCTCGAGGCGAAACACTTGGATAGGATTTGTGGCTGGGCGAGAACTAACAAGTTGAAATTGAATACGGGAAATACGAAGGCAATCTTAATAGGCTCCAATCACCTAATTAAAACTGTTCCTAATGTTCCAACTCTGTTCTTACATGATAATCCCATCAAATTTTACCCCACCGTCAAAAACCTTCGATCAAACACTTTCGTGGAAAAACCATGTATCCAATATTTCCCGCCGTACTATTTCCACTCTAACATGTCTAAATTATTCTCGTCACATATTTTCATTTGAAACCCGTAGGCTACTAGTCACTTCTTTAATTTTCCCCCACTTTGACTATTGCTGTTGTATTGTTGTATCTGGGGATCTCGAGGCGAAACTAAAACGTTTAATAAATTGCTTTGTACGATTCATCTTCGGGTTCCCAGGGGACGCCTCTGTTTCCCGTTTTTATGCAGAGTTGAAGTGGCTTTATCCTTCTTACCGTCGTAAGAATTTCCTGGCATCCTTTCTCTTTCAAGACATCCAATCCTACCGCCCTCCGTACATCTCCGAGCTCCTTCAATTCAAATCCTCTGTTCGTTCCCGCAATACTCGTTTCCGGTCTTCTGATTTATACACAAGAGCCAACCGAACGGCTGCTTTCGACAGATCGTTCATTATCCGATCCTCATCCCTATGAAACTCCATCCCTTCCCACATCCGTCAATCCAATACCCTTCCTACCTTTTGAATCCCGCCTGTTCAATCCTTTCTTATTCATCCAGTCTCCATAAAATTGTACATAGTTGCTACTGTAAATATGTATATAAATTATTAGATCGTTCTTCATTATTTTTATTTCATGTTTATTTTCCTTTTTTTATTTTGTATTATTAACTGATTTAAGTTAGACATTAGCTTATAATTTCTTTTATTATGAATGTTTATTTACTCTGTATTTTTGTTTATGTATCTCAGAGGCTAAATAGCCCACATTCCTGTATTTCTGTATTAATCTAAAGGGACTAGTAATAAAGTATTATTCTTATTATTACATATGTAATGTATAGTAAGGAAAATTATTGCGATCATGGTGAGTGGTCATTATTTTTAATCGAATAAATAAACATTAAAGATCGATTAGATTTTTTACTTTCACTTACGTATATAATATGTAATATATAGTAAGTGTAAGTATTGCGATCGTGAAATTTTATGAATCTGAGTTTTCAACGGAAATACACGTTTTTAAATCCCCTGAGTCCAAATAACGATGTCCAGCAAAATGGTCTTTGTGTCTGTATGTAAACAGTCTAGCTGAGAAATGAAAAGTCGTACGAAACTGATATTACGTATTTAAGATAGGTACATGCCTTGCTGAAATGAATTGCCAATACTTGGAAAACGTTAAAAATGAAAAAAATATTTACTTAAGTGATAAAAATATATTTTATTATATATAAATGAAATATATTTTATTGATGAGTGTATGATATACATGTATTTATTTAAATAAAAGGTGAAATGCCTTTTCTTTGGGTCACTTTAAGAATAAGAAATTCTGGATTTGTGGCAACATTGAGTAGGCTGCACTGATGGAACACTTTTCAACTGAATTTGGTGGCTCTGATATTTGATAATATCAAATAGTGTGTGTATGTTGAAGTGTTGGAAACGTAATTATATTTACTGAACATAATAATTGCTCATCAAAAAGTTACAAAAATTCACTTAAAATTACAAGTCGATTTATGTATAGTAATCTGTTTAATAGCTTCTTTTGAATGCAAGCTTTAAGAAATATCCTTTAGGTCTTTGCTAATAAACTTAAACATAACAACAAAGAAAAATACACTTAAACAATAATATCATATCATTGTACTAGGGTCAAAAAATATTTTTACTAAAAAACACCACGACTACAGAACTTTGGTAATTCTATCCACCCTATGATAATGTACTTGCATATCTACTGAAAAAATTTGGTAGATTGATAGGGAAATTTACATCTATGGACATTTTAACTTGGTGTAGTGGTCCGATTCCTTTCACTACACATTACGGCTCTAGGCAAATTTATTTAGTCCTACGAATCGGTGCACGTCAACATCCGAAAGAGTATTGAGATGTGATAGTAACCCAACATCTACAACAAGTTTAAATATTCTTAGATATCAATTTCCCTTTCAATCTATCAAGACGTTTCAGTAAATATGGAAATACATTCCCTCAGGGTCTATAAAATTTCCCAATTTCAATAGTTGATTTTTTTAAATTGAAATATTTTTTTTTTTAATATTAACCATTAATTTTCATAACATATCATCACATTATATCAATTCAAATAAATTAATAATCGAGATATTTAAGCTATAATAAACTTTTATTAAGTATTTCGAGTTTAAATTGTTTCAAAACATTCATGAGATCTAACTGTGTAATTACAGCCGTTAAAGTTAAAATCGATCATGTCATCCCGTCAAAAAAATCTTTCGGTATCTTTTAACGGATTGATTAAAAACACTTTACACAGTAATTTGACAAAGCTGAAATTGTTTCAAAACACTAATGGAGTCTCACTAAAAAATTTGAGCAAACAAACTTAAAAATCGATCAAGCCGTTCGCTCAAAACAGCATTACAAACCTTTTAGCCATTACACTACTCTCGTGTCATTTCGCTTTCTAAACATTCACAGAACTTCGCCGAATAATATATTACATCAAACTTAAAAATCGATCCAGCCGTTTGTTCAAAGCAGCGTTACAAAGCTTTTTGCAAATTGATTAAACAGACCTTATTTAATAACGGGTTTAAGCTCAAATCGTTTCAAAGCACTCAGGGGATCTCACTAACTAATATGAGCCATCAAACTTATCAAACGATCCAGCGTTTCGTTCTAAGATGATACAAACAGATAACCCTCGTTTCGCTTGGTTTAATCTGGTAAACAGATCCAGTAACACCCAACAACATAACGAAAAACCGAATCATAGATCAGCGATTTGAAAAGTTATCCAAAGCTGTTAAAATATTGCTACGTTCAAAGCAGTATTGAAAATTAAGTGGGGTGTATATAAAAATATAGGTATTTTAGTATATTAAAGTATATTTTAAATTTTTATATTTGTTTATTTGCAAAAAATAGAACAAAGTAAAAAATTATGTTGCAAAAATTGTAGAATGACATAATTTCATAGATTTTCTCGCCTTTTCCATGGTTTAAAGAACTTAATGAGTGTGAAGTACAAAGAATTTTTTTTTTCCTACAATATTATAAGGGGAATGTTGTGGATCATTATCTCATGTCCCTTTTTTGAGCAGTCAATGAGACAAATAATATTTTATATAATCTGACTTATTAAATCTATTATTAAATGAAGTTTTACATTTATTTTAGTGATATTTGTTATTCTATCATAATTATAATTCCTCTTATTTATTAATTGCCCAAGTTACGGGTCGTTAGTCCACGATAGAAGTAGTGACCCATGGTTACAATATAGCGTAACCAAAGGTACATTTATATTAATTGTACCTTGCGTCATTTGTCATTTATAGAAATGATTATTTCTTTATAATCAAAAACCGATTATAAAATGATTTAAAAATTTAATAAAGTATTTTCAAAA